TTTTTTTTTTTTTGGCGGGGGGGGAATCCTTTTTACGGATTCTAGGCATAGTTGTTGGCCTGGATATGTGGCGACTCGACGCTAACGCTCCTACCCACTAAACCCTAAACCCCTTTTCCTTCTTTCCTCTAATCCCTCATGGAAACCGCCGTCAGGCATTACTTCGTGAAGGGAGAATCTAGCTACTGCTCTTCCTTCTGGTGGCTAAGGTGTTAACTATCTTCCTTCTATCTTCTGCTATTTGCTCTTCTTCTTTCGGTGGAATGCAAGTCTTTGAAGACCTGTTGCAAACGTGTTGGTAGCGTTCCAGGCAGCTTCTGATGACAACATTGCTTCCACTAGTGAATCTGGTTGCATTCTCTGGTTCAGGATCCTCTCCAACTCTTCACGCTGTGGATCGAAACGAGGACATACAAAGAAGACGTGCTCCGCATCTTCAGCAACTCAGGCAGGATGGGCAGGACGGGCACTCCGAAGAGTCATCGTGCTTAAAGCTGTGTAGATACTCTCGAAAACACCCATGTCCCGACAACATCTGCGTAAGATAGTAATTGACCCCACCGTGATTCCGGTTAAGCCAAATGTCGATCCGAGGTATGAGACGGTGCGTCCACCTACCCTTCTCTGCAGCATCCCATTGTAGTTGCCATCGGCCTAAGCTCTTCTGCCGTTCTTCAATTCTAAGTTCTTCAGGGCTCAGTGCAGTTGACCTTTTTCGTTGGTAAAGGGCCCGTCTTTCCTCTGCTAGAACTCTAAGAGGTAGGGTTCCAGCAATGACGCACACTGCTTCTTCTGATATAGTGCGGAAGGCACTAGCTACTCGTAGGGCACTTAGTCGGTAATTGGTCCAGCTTTTCTCCATGATTCTTGGGTTTCCAGTGCATCAGCCCAAATGTGTGTGTGTGTGTGTGTGTGTGTGTGTGTGTGTGTGTGTGTGTAAACCTCTTATAACTTCTGAACGGCTTGACCGATTTGATCGCAGTTGGTTTCATTCGAAAGGTCTTCCCCAAACTTAGAGTTCCTGTAAGTTGGAACCAATTCGGACCAATAAATTTCGAGAAATTGCAAAAAAAAATAAAAAAAAAAGTTGTTTCATTTTTTTATTTTTTTTAAATATCTCTGAATTGGCTGAACCGATCGACCCTATAATCTAATCAGCTCTTAACCTCGAAAATCCGCATCGATCGCCACCAAGTCAGAATCGGTTGATGCGTTCGTGAAATATCGTTGTCGAAAAAATCGAAAAAAAAAAGTGTTTTTTTGTAATAACTCTAAAATGTTTCATCAGATAAATTTTTTGTTGCAAATTATTTATAGAGCTCAAAAAACTACATTGATCGCCGCCAACTGTATGAAAATCGGTTGATTTATTCAAAAGTTATAGCAGTTTGAAAATTAAAAAAATCGTTTTATCGAACTCAGATAAGATTTTTAAGCTCGAAGAGCTCAAAAGCATAGAAAAGCTATCTCTGTGAGTTATTTGACGTTAAAACTGTAATTGAAGTGAATAAACGGACAAAATATATCATGGGTTGAAGAAATAAGAAATTATAACATGCGTTAAGCCTGATTTTAAGATTACGTCCAAATATTTTTAATAATTTTAAGAATTTAAAATTTAAAATTTTTTAAAATTTTAAGAATTTTTTTTTCAATAGCCCTAAGTATCCGCTTTCAAACAAATGAAAGGCCATTCCTGTATCTTTAATAGCGTTCGAAATATTACAAAAACAAAATTGAAAAACTGGAAGAATCGCGAAATTTTGAATTTGCATATCTTTTGAAAAAAATTTTTTATTTTTTTTCCTTTGGCAGAACTTTGTTATATGATGGAAGAAAACTTCTGACCAAAATTCATGCAAATTTATCCGATTAATCGAACGGGATCGATTCCAACTATTAATCGATTTGACATGGAATGACCCAATAGAATAAAATAAAATTTTTTGATTAGGGGCTGTTCATTAATTACGTAAGCATAATTTGGAGCATTTTACAACCTTCCTTCCCCCATGATAAGCATTAGTAAGATTTTTAACTGATACATCCACCCCCCTCTGAAATCTTACGTAAGATATACATCAATTTTGGTCTTTCAATAAGTTAAAAAATATTTTTAATTTTTAACAAATGCCATTGAAACGTAATAGATTTAATGGGAACGCTATGGAATGTGTTACTTCTTATTTAGAGAATTTATCAATTAATAAATTAAATCTTAGATTCTAATCATTCAGGGTACTTTTCAAAATGTGAGTTCTGCCTGGCTCCAGAGACTCGGTTACTTATAAAATCGAAGAATAAATACCTCGAACTGGCCGGACAAACTAATAAAACCAACACCAATACTTATGTATAGCTTAATTAGGACTTCGAGTAGGTGTTGCTTCTCCTGGTGAATTGGAACACGTGGCCTCTGGTACATGTTCTGGTGAATCCACCTCAAACCGCGTACTGAGAGTGGGATGTAATGGCAAGATGCAAATAACTGATTGACTTATTCGTCGGATAATTTATTTATTAACTATTAAATAAATTATTTTAACCACTGATGCCTAACTTGGCAACATTCACAAACGAACTGGAGCTAATAAGTAATATAAGGTGCTTCGAATATTACTAATACTATATCAAACTATATAATAATATATCAAACTGTTCTGACTGAACAGGCAAAGTGAATCAAACTATTTATTACAAAATAGGCAAAAACGGATTAATTAAACTTGACGGACCAGGTTGAATTTTTCAAATTACAACCAACTAGGTAAGATTCAACCTTACAAACCCCAAATGGATTATTTAAACTATTCCAACTGAATAGGATTCAATTAGTTTAATTTTTACTATGTGCATCAACTAGCATTTTTTAACTGAGATAAAAGATTCTGATACTCATGTCAGCTTCGCTCTTTCCGCCTCGTTTTAACAACTTATAACCAAACAAAACTGTGTGCGACATTATCGATGCAATTGAACTATCGATCGAGAATCTTAGTAGAAAAGTAATTTAAGTTACCGACTACTGAAATAATTTAAAAATTTTGCATACGTAAGATTTGTCTACTAGCGCCCTCCCCCCTAAGTAAGCATACATAGAGATTCAGCTTGACCCCCCCCCCCCTAATGAGCGCTTACGTAATTCATGAACAGCCCCTTAGTGTAAAATAAAGCTTAATTAATTATAGATAGTTATTATTGATAATTTATAATTTATACCTATAAGAAGACTTGACGAATTTCCAAAACGAAGTAAGTAGTAAATAGCAGAATATTTGAGCAAGCCCAAGACCAAGACTGAGTACGCAAGAACAAGACCAAGACCAAGACTGAATATGCAAGACCGAGACCAAGACCAAGACTACAAGTATTTGAGGAAGACTGGACAAGCAAGACCAAGACCGATACCAAGACTGTCCTGGTCTTGGTCTTGGTCTTGTTTTGCTCATCACTACTTATGAGTCATTCTATGTCAAATCAAACAATAGTTGAAAACAAACCCTTTCGATTTGGACAAATTTTGGTCAGAAGTTTTCTTTTATCATATAACGAAGTTCTGTAGAAGAAAAAAAAATTTTTTTTCAAAAGATATGCATATTCGAAATTTTCCAATTTTTCAATTTTGATTTTGTAAAATCTCGAACGCTATTATAGATACAGGAATAGACTTTCGTTTGTTTAATAAGGAACACTTGAGGCTATTGAAAAAAAAATTTTGAAAAATGCAAAATTTGTCAAATTTTGAATTTTTAAACATCGTCGAAAATGACAATCGACATCAAAATTTTGGCTCAATTTTTTTGTATAATACATTGTACTAGTCTTAGAAGATCCTGAAATTTTTAGAACTTTATTTTTTTTTTAAATGTGAACTTTTGAATTCAAAATAAATTTTTTTTTTGTTTTTTGCTATTTCTAAATGAGGTTCAGGTATGCGAATACATTGTATTGTAATTTTGAACATTATAAAATTAAATACACGACCTGGAAGTATTAAATGATAATTGGTTTCAACTCCTTTTTTTTTCTTTTTTAATAGCCTCTGGTGTTCACTATCAAACAAACGAAAGTTCATTCCTGTATCTATAACAGCGTTCGCGATATTACACGGAAAAAAATTTATTGTTGCTGCAACAGGAGGCAGCCATGTTGCAACAACAGGAAAAAATCCTGTAAAAAAGTAAAGTGAAAAAAAATCACAGTTCTAAAAATTTTAAGGTTCTTTTAAGATCAGCACAAGGTATTATACAAATGAAAATTGAGCCAAAATTTTAATATAGATCGTCATTTTTGACGATTTTCACAAATTAAAAATTTAACAAATTTGGCATTTTTCAAAACATTTTTTTTTCAATAGCCCCAAGTGCCCCCTTTCAAACAAACGAAAGGTCATTCCTGTATCTATAAAAGCGTTCGAGATATAACAAAAACAAAATTGAAAAACTGGCAAAATCGCGAAATTTTGAATTTGCATATCTTTTGAAAAAAATTAAAAATTTTTTTTTCCTTTGGCAGAAATTCGTTGTATAACAAAAGAAAACTTCTGACCAAAATTTATCCAAATCGAAAGGGGTCGATTTCAACTATTGGTCGATTTGACATGGATTGACCCAACTATATTTTACTATCAAGTCGCAACAACAGTAGTGATCTTGTTGCTACAACAGGCTTTTTTCCCGTTGTTGCAACATGGCTGCCTCCTGTTGCAGCTGCAGGAAAATCCTGTTGCTGCAACAGGATTTTTTCCTGTTGCTGCAACATGACTGCCTCCTGTTGCAGCAACAATAAATTTTTTTCCGTGTATAAATGAAAATGCATAAAATTATTATATGGATTAGTCGTTACTACTATTCTGTGCAATAAGGAAAAGGATTGGGGTTATTAAATAATTCATTAGAATTATATCCATCAAATGTAAATGTATTAAGTATTAATGAATATTATTTGGTTGATATAAATCCGATTAATGCGTTTTTTAGATAATAAAAGGAGATATATCTTTATATTCGGACGTAAGCAGCGTAGTTGGCAATACCGCAACGATTTTTATTTTTGACGATTCGCATGTAACCATTTTCTCCCCATTGCTCACCCCACCAATTTTTTAAAATCCACTCGTTGGGCGTATAGCCTACTATCAACATTGCGTGGTTTACCATATCGGAACTGCATAATGGATCATCGTAAACTCCTTCACTAGAAACAGATTTATTTTATTTATTACGTGCTAATAAAATTTTAAAGTTAGTTATTGTAACTTTTTGAATTTTAATTGTGCAAGATCGAAAATAATTCTATGGTTCAGACATTCAAAGTGATATAAATCAAAAAAAAAGTTAAAAAGAAAAGGTAGTTCTCGGATAATTTATGCGAGAAAAAGAATATTACATCGAAGTCGATTATTCTTTCAAGCGAGTACCTATCCCTGGAATTGGCCATGCGAAAAAGGATCATCAGTTTCGAATCGATTTGATATAAGAGTCTTTTAAATGGAATTTAAACCGAGATTCATGTAAATCTTAATCAATGATGCTGAACAACATTTAACGGTTAAGAAAATTTTTATTTTTATTTACTATAGAGCAATTATTTCAATGTCAGTTTTCAATACGATAAATCATCTTATACAAATCAGCTAATTAATAGAGTAAATTTAAAATTCATTATTTATCATTGTTACTTTTTCTATCTTTTTATAATTTAAATTACCAATTTTATCAAACTATATGATTAGGAATTATGAGTAGCTCATAAAAACTCCAAATTTTTCTGTACTTTTCAATTTCATGTTAATTTGTATATCAATATCAGTTACTTTGAAATAATTCATGCTCTTACAACACTATGTAAGAAGCCTATAAAGTCAGCTTTATGATATATTCTATTAATAAAGGATTATCCATTTGAATTTCTCACAAACGGTATTTTAATGGATTTGTAAGCTATGGGAATATTCAACAAAAGACGATAGAACTTATGTGAATTGAATAGTAGATTACATACCTAGGCCAGTAAAATAAGAAAAGTCTCAGACCACATGTAATTGTTGGCCGAGGCGAAGCCGAGGTTGACAAACATGTGGTCTGAGGCTTTACTTTTTACTGGCCAAGGTGTGTATACTATTTTTCTGCTCGACGTAGCCGGAATGTGGCAACTTTGTTTAGCGCAGCGGCCAGAAAGTTGCCACTTTCCGGCCGGAGGGCAGAAAAAAAATTTTTTTAATAAATTACTCAAACATAATTTTCATTAGAACGGACATATTGATTGATTTCATTCATGCACTGTTCCATCGCATATCGCCGCTAAAAATAAATAAGATAAGAATTGATATTCAAAAAACTTTTTTTTATAAAGCTAACTCATCTAAAATAGATGATCAATTTTTCAATAATTAAAAATAAAAGCGATTTCTTAAATTTAATCAGAGACTGTCTACTTCTCTTTATTTAAGGGGTTAAATTGGTTTAGGAGTTTCGAGAAATCAGTTTTTTTATTTTATTAAATTCTACAACATGTCTGTATAGAATATTGTCCTAAACTTTCAAGTCGATCGGAGTCAGGGTTTAGAAGATAGAGCCATGGGAATTTTTCTCTCTACAAGGCCAGTTCGGCTGAGTGCTCAAAACTTTAAATGCGTTTTTCTCGAAACGCTATTTTCAAATTCGGTTTTCAAAATTTCTCGAAAACTACAGAACTGTTCTGATGAAATATGGTATGCATCTTCGAGATACTATGGACAAGAACTTTAACGAAGGATTTTTTTTTAAATCGCAACTAATTTAAAAAAAAACAGAATGTGGTGTAAGTTTTAGCGAAATTTGAATTTTTAACTTCCCGCTAAGAAAATTGAAAATTTTCAAAAGTTAGGAAGTTATTGGTTTTACCCAGTTTTTCGAAAATCGAGTTTCTAACGGATTTTGACGTTTTGAGATCCTAGAAAGCTTCCTCGAGTGTTTCCGCGATGATGTGTGTGTATATAAATACACGGAAAGAAAATTATGGGAACTATTCCTATACCATTATGGGAATGGTTCCCATAATGCTATAGGAATAATTCCTATACTATTATAGATACAATTCCTATATCATTATGGGAACTAATCCCATAATATTATGGGAATAGGTCCCACAATTCTATAGGAATCATTCCTATACTATTACAGGAATTATTCCTATAATATTATGGGAATGGTTCCCATAATGCTATAAAAATCATTCCTATACTATTATAGGAATGGTTTCTATAATTTATGGGAACCATTCCCATTATAGTATAAAAATGGTTCCCACGATATATAGGTTTAAATCCTACACGGAAAAAAAAAATTGGGGGTGCCACGTGATACATGATTTTTACGTGACAGCAACATGATTTTCATGCGGCAGGAAATAATAGTAAAAGCAACAATAATAATTAAATAATAATAATAATAATTTATATTATTAAGATAATAAGAACAATTTTGTCTTCTGGATAGTCATATGATGAAATCGATTTTTTTAGTGAAATATAGTGTCAATGCAAAGGACGACTTGAATTTGTGCCTTTTCAAGGTTTCACATCATTCTCATCGATAGTCAATTTATAATGATAAGTATTTAGGTTGCATTCGAAAATGCTCTATCTCTAGACATATAATTGAGAAATGACCTTGTATCTTGGAAACTATTGACATTTTTAAATTCTTATTATAATAAATTGACTATTGGTCAGAATGATATGAAACTTTGAAAAGGCCCAACTCCAAGCAAAAACCCATTTTATCATATAAGTACACTGGACACAAAATTTTTTTTATTCTTTCAATAATATAGATTATTATTATTATTATTATTATTATTATTATTATTATTTAATTATTATTATTTAATTATTATTGATGTTTTAACTATTATTGCATACTTCATGAAAATTATAATGCTGTCACATGAAAATAAATTTTTTTTGCGTGTAATTATTATAGAAATTTTGAACTCGTTCCGCACGAAAATTTTATCTTTATTTTATTTTGAGAACGATTCTCATAATGATATAGGAATGATTCCTATAATATTCTAAGAATCCTTCCTATACCATTATGGGAACTATTTCCATAATGATATAGGAACCATTACTATATCATTATGGGAATATTTCCCGTAAAATTTTTGGAATGGTTCTTATAAATGTATAGGAATCATTCCTATAATTATAGGAATGATTCGATCGTTACCAAGAACGTGAAAATTGGTTGATTGTTTCGTGAGTTATCGTTGTCGAAAAAATTCGGAAAAAAGTGAATTTTTCAAATTTCTCTAAGATTTTCGGTTCGATCAGTTTGTGTTCAAAAGTATATCATAGATTCTGACAAAGTGCGTGGAATACTGCCAACCACGTGAAAATCGATTCATTTATTTAGAAATTATTATTGCAGTTTAACAATTTAAAAAATACTGTTTTATTAAACTTCTATCACCCTTTTGAGTTTGAAGAGCTCAAAAGCATACAAAAGCTATTTCTTTGAGCTCGGAGAGCTTGAAATAACACACAAATTGTATTTTTGAGCTCGAAGAGCTCAGAAACGGCATAAGTGCAATCTCAAGCGTTTAGGTATGGAATTGGCGGGAAGTTGCAGGGATGGCCTTTATGGTCAACCGTTTTCCAGATTTTTTTTTTCACTTTTTTTGCAATTTCTCGGAATCTACTGGTCCGAATCGGTTCCTACTTACAGGAAATCTAAGTTTGGTAAAGACTTTTCGAATGATACTAACTGCGATCAAATCGGTCAAGCCATTCAGAAGTTATAAGAGGTTTACACACACACACACACACACACACACACACACACACACACACACACACACACACACACACTCAGTGACAACCTCGGGGGATAGTCAGGAAAGCTTTCTGTGACGTTCAAACGTCGAGATCTGATGAAAACTCGATTTTTGCAAAACGGGGTGAAAACAATAACTTCCCGATTTTTGAAAATCTTCGATTTTCTTAGCGGGAAGTTAAAAATATCTTCTAGAGTATATGGACTCAAACAAAATACTAAACAGAACATTGATTAATAAAAAAAATTATGTTTAAGCATTTAGTAAGAAAATATTTAAATCACAATTGAAGATTACTTATAAAAACTAAATTAATACAGATTGACAAATTGAATTGAACAAAAAAAATCGATAATAATGATAAAAAATATAAAAAATACTAACTGATATAATTGAAATGTCCGGGGGCTGGCATTTATAGAAACGGCTATAGGTCCAATAGTCGCAACAGCAGCTTGCAATGCCCGTTCATCTCTTGCTGGCAAGATTGCCCATGAAGTAATGTTAACGATACCCAAGTTCGTTTGAAATTTGCACTGTCCTTCCTTTCGTCATAATTTAAATTTTATAAAATAATTTCACTTATGAAATAGGCAACGTACCTGTGCTATGTAAGGATAATTTATTTGTTCCATCAGTCCTCCTGATTTTTGTAAATATCTAAGACCATTTCTGAGAGAACCACCTGCACATCCTAAATTTCCAGTTATTGAGCTGCAATCAACGATTTGCTGAGCACTGAGAGAAATTAATGCCCCAGTTTTTTTGAATATTTGACCTTCTATACTTTCTGCTATTGAATAAGCATAACAGCTACCACATGATTCTTGATTTACTGGTTGTGTGATAAAACCTTTTTTCCGCCAATCCAAATGACTGGGAATAGTTTTCGGGTCATGAAGAACAGCACCAACTAATTCATCATCACTTATTTTTCGGCGTCGACTTGGTATGAGTTTTACCTATTAATTAATAAGGAAAAAAAAAACTTTTCTTTCAGGTATAAAATTTTATATTCATTAATAGGTCATAAAGCTTACCATATTTTTCATATATTGGCGTGTACATAAATCCGCAATATGGTTATCTCTCAGAGTATAAGTATGATGGCCTGCTTCAGCCATCAAATTATGCTCATAAATTTTCAGCAGGTTCTTCTCCCAAGCTACTCGTTTCACTAGCTCCTCCTTCGCCGTGTACGTTTTGTTCAAGCTTGCCTGAGATATGATACATAATTAATTAATGAAAACTGACAAGTAAAGAAAATTTTTTTTCACACTACCTTATAAATATACCAATATTCACTTAAACGTTCTGAAATTTTTGACGGTAATTTTTTAATATTTCCAAATACCCTTAATTCATTATTATGACCGCATATGCTAGAAAATAATAGAAACAAAATTAAACCTTTTGACAATTGCATGGTCTTACTGAGCTCAAGTTTTAGTTCTTACTGTTTCTTATAATTGTTATCACAATGAATTGTGAATTTAAAGACTGTTGAGTCAGCTAAAAAATTATGTCAACACCAACATGATTAACAAATAACGTATTGACTTATTTAAAAGAAAGAAAACCATGACATCATTTTAATTCCTATGCAATTTAATATTTAAAAACAATAATCATATTTCTAACGTAGTAATTTTATTGTCATTCTTACACTTTACTTAATATAATTTGAATAATGATATAATATATTGTTTTGAATTCATGAGAAATTTTAAGTAAGTTCTACAAAAATTTCGTTAAAATGATGTAAAGTATGCACTATGAAAAATTTTTTGGACCCGGTGTAGTGGAAAATGAGTCGGTGTAAAAATTTCCGTGTGAAAATTACACCAAATACCGTGTTAAATTTAGGGGGTTTGAATTTAATATTTTTACACTGTCAACCATGTATATGTATAATTCACGATAATTTTGTGTTCAGAAATTAAATATCGACTCTGCACGCTGAAAAATTTATGGGAATCTCCAATTGTCAAATTGTATGGGCGCAGCCACTTATATTTGTAATATTACTTTGCATGTAAAAAAAAACTACTGCCCTTAGTTTTAAAATTCATTAGACTATAACTTTTGGAAAAAATTTAATCGGTATTTCCGAAATCAGAAACTGTAAGTATTTAATTATTTTCAGTGCTTTTCACTTATTCAGATTTTTTAGAGTAGACAGCGAGTAATTGAAAATTGAAAAGTGAATTTAAAAACTTACAAAAAAAAAAATACAATCTGCAAAGTGATTAACCTGCAGGGAATCCCTGGAACTTCTTGCTTATTTAGAGCTTAGAACTATTATATAGCTATAGTTTTTAAACGCGTCGTTCGATTTCGATTTGTTTGGCGGCATCCGACGCAATTCTTCAAATACAAAAATTTTTTACAAGCTCTTGAATCGATGGATCGAAGAATTCAAAAGTTATCTCAAAAAAATGATTATTTAGAAATTTTTTTTTCGTAAAGTAGTAATATTGAAGACAAAAATCAAAATTTTGTTGATTTAAAAAACTATTTGAACATTTTTTTCTAAAAGTATCTATTGTTTTGAAATCTAAGGTTGTTAAAAGTTCTTTATTAAATTTTTAAATTCATAAATATTGTAAAGTTAAAAAAATGTTCTTTTAAAATTACGTTAAAAAACAAGTTCAAAAATGAAAATTATGAACTTTGCTTGTGAAAACCTGTCAATACTTTTTGTGGTGAAATGAAGAGTTATAAATAAATTAATCGAGATATGGTACATTGGATGATTTAAGCAGAATATTTTGATGACGGATATTTTCACTTTCAGACAGTTTGCCTGAAGCGATGATGTTTTCATTGGAATTATTTATATTATTATTATTATTATTGTTATTATTATTATGCTCGCCGAGTCTCTGAATAAGTGACTAAATTTAGCAGAAAGCTCGATAGATGGCATTGTCACAGTGATCCACGTCGGCATGATCGAAGCGGGACTAAGCTAAGTGAGAGCAGGTCACGCGGGTTCTCTCAATTGAGATACCACGATCTAATAACGTGCACTCAACGCGTAGTCTATTCTATGAATCGCGCTTGATGGAACGGCCAATAGAGCTTTGTGTACATAATCTTTTGTGATTAATTCTATAATTTTCCTCGTTTCTTTCAACCATCAAACATCTGATAGTATGTCATATGCGTTTTTAGTACATATCATTCAATCAGTAGTTGTGGATGAGCAGACCGCTCTTCATGTGTGACACGAGAATATTAAATAAAAAAAGATAAGAGATTCTATTTGAACTCTGGGCTTTTGGATGATAAAACGACCCGTGTGATTTCTCACTCTCGTTATGCTCCACTCAAGGAATATTATTTTTAATAAATCAGTATTTTAAATACAAAATTTTATCATTTTAATTACTTTATTATTTATTAATATTAATTATTACGCAATAATAGTGAAAAAAATATAGTATCAAAATAGTGAAAATTTTACAGTGATCGATTGTGAGCCACTTCTTCTGTTATTATTATATACGAAAAAAGTTATAGTGATTTTATAGCAATGATTAATATTTTTAATTATTAATATTTAGTGGTGCTGTTTTATTAGTTAATGAGAACCATGCGCGTGCCAGTCACAATAAATCATTTAAATCTGGTGGACCCACTATTGAATTTTTACGAGTGTCAAGGAAATATTTCTTCATTCCGTCAGTGTCAATAAATAAATTTTAATTACATTATCGGATTAAAAAAATTAACATGGAAGAATCGGGAATAGATATGGGTTTTGATCTGGCTGCACTCACGAGTAATGAAGATGTAAATGGTGATTATAATGATTATGATCAAGTCCTGTCAATGCTTTGTGATTCTCAAGAATTCGTTTATTATGAAATCAAAAGTCGTGCGCCAAACACATGCAGGTATGCTCAAATGTAATGTTAAATAATGATCAGTTTTTTGTTTCATTACTAACTTAAGTTTATTTTATTGAACCTATCGACTTGTTGAAAAATTGAAAATTTTCGTAAGAAATAATTTATAAGGTTATTAAACAATAAAATATAAACATTTAGATAAAAGTATTTGTATTATTTTGATAGGTGATTGATTGGAAATGAAAAATTCTTTATTGTGTGAGCGTATATTTTAGATCCAAGCTCATGTATTCTCAGGATCTTCATTTGAATAATGCTAAGGAATATTGATAATTATAATATACAGATGTTATTTTGATAAACAGACCTTTCACGATGAAGAAGTGGGACAGTAGAATTTTCTGTATGGTGTCACACTTGTTTGAAAGTAAGAGCAGGTTGCGCTTGAAAAGTGAAAGGAAGTGCATCCTATATTTACGTCTTGATGAACATTAACATCTGCAATTTTCATCTTGAGTACTGGATTAGTCAAATATATATCTTTAAATTTTATTTACTACCAATTACACGCCTCACAATACCAAGTGGTTAGGGTAGTGTTTTACTCTCAACTAATGAAATTCAAGCAATTTTTTTAACTTAAAATAGCTCTATTATGTTCAGATTGAATGACGACATGAGTAAATGTAAATGAAAAAAATTAAGAAAACGGTTGACTCTAAAGGACATATCTGCAACTTCCCGCTAATTCCATACCTTAGTGATTAAAATTGCACTTATGACCTTTTCGAGTTCTTTGACCTCAAAAATATAAGTTATGTGTTATTTTGAGCTCTCCGAGCTCGAAGAGTTGGCTGTTCTAAGCTTTTGAGCTCTTCGAAGAGCTCAAAAACGACATAAGTGCAATTTCAAGCGTTTAGGTATGGAATTAGCGGTAAGTTACAGGGATGGCTTTCAGGGTCAACCAGTTTCCTAATTTTTAACTTCCCGCTAAGAAAATCGAAGATTGTGAATAATCGGGAAGTTATTGGTTTTACCACGTTTTGCAAAAATCGAGATTTCATCAGATCTCGACGTCTGAAGGTCACAGGAAGCTTCCCTGACTATCCCCGCGAGAGTGTCACTATGTCTGTATGTATATGTCTGTATGTATGTATGTATGTATGTATGTTTTTTTTTTTTTTTTTTTTTTTCTGTGTAAGTATGTGAATCACTTATAACTTTTGAACGGTTGAACCGATTTCATCGCGGTTGGTGGCATTCAAAAGGGCTTCGCTAAACTTAGATCTCTTCGTTGTGTGTGTGTGTGTGTGTGTGTGTGTGTGTGTGTGTGTGTGTGTGTGTGTGTGTGTGTGTGTGTGTGTGTGTGTGTGTGTGTGTGTGTGTGTGTGTGTGTGTGTGGCCGTATGTAAACCTCCTATAACTTTTGATCGATTTGACCAATTTCATCGCGGATAATGCTATTCGAAAGGGCTTGGCCAGACTTAGATTTTGAATACAATTTGGACCGATTCGGACTGATAGATTTTGAGAAATCTCAAAAAAACTGTGAAAAAAATTTTTTTTGAAAGTGGTATTTTTTGAATAACTTTTAAACGGCTCTATCGATCATCTCCAAAAACTAATCAGCTCTTAACCTTGAAAAACCACATCGATCGCCGCTAATCCGGCCAAAATCGTTTGATTCGTTCGAGAGATATCGTAAAGGAAAGAAAACCAAAAAAAGAGTTTTTTCGGAACTACTCCGAAATTTCTAGTTCGATCAATTTGAACTTAAAGGATCTGTATGAGGCTTGAAAACTCGAAGAGCTCAAAAACGGCATAAGTGCAATTTTAAGCGTCCAGGTATGGAATTAGCGGGAAGTTGCAGGGATGGCCTTAAGGGTCAACCGTTTTCCTAATTTTTTTTTTAACTTCCCGCGAGGAAAATTTAAAATTAAAAAAAATCGGGAAGTTATTGGCTTCACTCCGTTTTGAAAAAATCGAATCCTCACCAGATCTCGATGTTCTGAGGTCCTAGGAAGCTTTCCTGACTACTCTCGCGAGGGTGTCACTATGTCTGTGTGTGTATGTGTGTGTGTGCAAACTTCCTATAATTTTTGAACGGCTCGGCCGATCGGATCGAAATAGGTGGCGATCCAAAGACTATCATTGCCATTAAATTTTGTGAAAATTTGAATCGATTCGGTATGCTAGATTTTGAGAAATCTCAAAAATAAAATTTTCAAAAAATCGTTATTTTGGAATAATTTCTAAACAGCTCGATCGATCAATTCCAAAAACTAATCCGTACTTAAGTTTGAAAAACCACGTCGATTGCCACCAGTCCCGACAAAATCGGTTGATTCATTCAAGAGTTATCGAAAAAGAAAAATTTCGAAAAAAGTGTTTTTTTCACATAACTTCGACATTTCTTTTTGGATCGTTTTTGATGAAATAAAATAATTATCAGAGACTGAAAAACTACGTCGATCGCCACCAAAAACGTGAAAATCCGTTTATTGGTTCGTCAGTTATCGTTGTTGAAAAAATTCGGAAAAAGTGAAGTTGTCAAATTTCTCTAAGATTTTCGGTTCGATCAGTTTGTGTTTGA